ACTGTTTCTACTGCCCAGCAAAGGCAATTTTCCACCCCCTCTCCCATCCTGTGTGCTGTTTCCCTCTCCTCCCAGTTTTGTTACCAGTCAGGATATTCCTGAAGCAGCACATGGCTCAGGGGGAAAGTCCTTTTGCAGTCCTTTCTTTCTCAAGACTCAATCCTCAAGGCTTTGCTGCCTTACCCTGCCTAGTTATCTTCATGACAAGGCATAAAACCTTCACTACTACTCTTGAAACTGAAGGAACCCAAGAGATTCCTGTGCCAAGCCCAGAGAGCACCCCCTGAGTGGTACCTACGTGATCAGGTGCCGGGAGCAGTCACAGAAGAGCATCAGCATGGCCAGCAGCCTCTTGGACTCCTCTGTGTCATTGTTCAAACACTCCAAGAAGAGTTTTAACCCACCCTGTGGTCCCAGCTCACAGATGAAAGCCCATAATTTGGGCAGCAGATCATCCAGGTAAGTGAGACCTATGAAAATTTGAAGTGCAGTGAGTAAAGCTCCTTCTGCTGCCCATGAAGGCTCAGAGGGATGAAGGTGACTTGGGAGGTGAGAGGTCCTTTTGCAAAGCAAAAGAGAACAGGAGCATCCCATTCAGCTCCCAGGCCTGTCTGCATTAAAAGGAGATGGACAATCCCCAGGAAAGCAGAAAAATCAAAGCTTCAAATGAGGCATTTTTGCACACCCTGACTATTCTGTGACTGTATGAATTAATCCCTGTGATCCCACCACCATTCCAGCCATCTCAGAGGTGAGAACACAGCAGGGCTGTCCCCATGGTCACCTCCACAGCCAAAAAGCACACAAGGCTCTGGACTAACTTCCCTGCTCTATCCACCAGACCAAAACAGTGCTGATCTCCTCCTCCATGCATTCCCAAGACAGGTCATTTGTTCCCAAGATGTATGAAAGCCTTCAGTGTTCCCATCACCCAAAGATTAATATTGCCTGGCTTCCCCAGGCACTGACTCAGGCTGGAGCTGGAGTGACTATCATGATAGAAAACTTGCTCCAATCTGTATTCTGGTGAGTTCATGCTTGATCAGGAAGTGCTGAACGTTATTGATCAGAGGGATGATTCAGGGTGGAACAAGTTTCCCCCCAGCCACTCAATAAACTGCTGTCAGGGATAAAACTCCCAACAAGTCAAGGGAATTTAATCAGCACAATCTAATTCTTTCTCTCCACATGTGAAGAGCAGAGAGGTGCCCTGACCTGTGAGGATCTGCAGGCGGATCTGGGTCAGGGTGGTCAGGGTGGTTTGGTACAGGACACAGATGCTGCAAACCTTCTGCACCTCGGCCGAGTCCACGCGCTTCCCCCCGACCGGCTTCAGGATGTTGCGGACGGAGGCTGATTTCTGGAAAGCTCTCCTGAACAGGGCTGGGGACACACAAGCACACAAGGGCTGTTTGAAACCATTCCCACTGCCAGAGGGCAGGATTGCATTGGACATTGGGAAGGAATTCCACCCTGTGAGGTGCTGAGGCACTGGCACAGGTTGCTCAGAGAAGCTGTGGCTGCTCCATCCCTGGGAGTATTCCAGGCTAGGTTGGAGAAGACAAACTTCACAGGGTGACCTAACCTTCCAGTGCCAGAAGGGTCTACAGAAGAGCTGGAGAGAGACTATTTGTCAGTCCCTGGAGGGACAGGACAAGGGAAATGGCTTCACACTGCCAGAGAGTAGATTTAGGTTAGATATTAGGAAAGAATTTTTCCCTGTGAGGGTGCTGAGGCACTGGAATGGATTTCCCAGAGAAGCTGTGGCTGCTCCATCCGTGGGAGTGTTCCAGGCCAGGTTAGATGGGGCTTGGAGCAACCTGGGCTGGTGGAAGGTGTTCCTGCTCATGGCAGAGGGTTGGACTAAATGATCTTCAAGTGCCTTCCAACCCAAACCAGTGTGTGACCCCCTGATTCTAACTGCAGAAGCTAATGACCACAGGATCTGGTGTTACAGGCAGCAGCCAGAAAACAGCTACTTTCCAGCTATCTTATTCCAAACCCTCTTCTGCAGGACCACCACACATCACAGGCCCATCAGCCAGCTTCACCTTGCTTTTCTCCTAGGAAGCTGACCTGCCTTCTTGCCTTAAGAAGTACTAGGTTATACAGTAAGCACTTCAGTTACTTGAGAAATCATGACAAAAACTTCTAAAATAAGCCAATCTCTTCCTTTCCCCAGGGCACAGAGACATTTTCCAAGAAATTACAAACAGGAGACATCAGATCCCCACCTAAGCAGCAGCAGCTGCTGCAAGTCATTACTGAAAGCTTTTAGCCTAAGTGGAAAAGTCAAAGCCCCGTGAGTCTAGGACAGAGACAGGAACACACAAACCCCCCAGAACCCTCCAGAACTGACTTTTCATGGGAAGGCTGTTCTGAGGGGACACTGGCTGTGCTGGCAGCTGAGCTATCTCCTGATTTTCCAGCAGTTTCTTGCTGAGCACATCACTGAAGAGGATTCGGATCATATGGACTCCCCAGAGGTGCTGCAGTTGTTTTGTCAGCAGAGGCATCGACTCGTTCAGGCTGAAAGACAGGGCAGGGACACAGGTTAGAACACACCACCAGCAGTGATCCTCAGGCATTTAGCTCCTAATCCAAACTGGAATATGCACCCACCCTTAGAGGAAGGGCTGATAACCCAGAATCCCAGAAGGGTCTGGGTTGGAAAGGACCTCAAAGATCCTCATCCCACCCCTGCTATGGGCAGGGACACCTTTCACTAGCTCCAAGCCCTGTCCAAACTGGCCTGGAACACTTCCAGGGATGAGGCATACCCATGGGGCAGCCTGTGGCAGTGCCTTACCACCCTCATAGTCCAGAATTTCTTCCCAGTATCCCATCTATTCCTGCCCTCTGACAGTTTGGCAGGTGTTGGATCAGTACCAGTATGGCCACTGCTCCCCAGTTTAACTACACTCAATGAATTCCCTCATAGAATAATCTGTGTGTGAATGCAACAGCTGATATTGTGCAGACAGATCCTGAAAATACCTGAGAAGTGATTCTGAACAGGGTCACATTGTTCATCTCAAAACATAAACCACTGTAGAATCAAGGGGAAAAAAAAGGGAAAAAACAGAGAAACTTAATCAGCTGTTGATTACCACTTACCCATAATCCACAGTCTGGGAAAACCAGCCCAGGACAGGGTGCCAGTGAGTGAGGTTGGATTTCTTCTGTGAAACATACTTCTGGCAGTAGGAGAGCATGTGGATGAGCACCCCCACAAAGAGGGCTGTCTCCTCCTCCAGCACTTGGTCATTCAGGGAGCCCAGGAACACCAGGTTTCCTGCAGGAATGACCAGCACAGCGAGACTTGAAGAGGAACAGATGCTGTGGGACAGTGCCCCAGGAACATTTCCTGCAGGAATGACCAGTATAGCGAGACTTAAAGAGGAACAGATGCTGTGGGACAGTGCTCACAGGTGAAACAAATCCTTTTCCAGTCCCAGGAGAAGATTTGTGTCAGTAATGATTCTTAGAGAACACCTTGTAGCAGCCAGCACACATCAGCCATACAGGTGACATGTCCCTCTGGTCACCTCCTCACCTGCTTATTTCCTGCAGGAATGACCAGTATAGCGAGACTTAAAGAGGAACAGATGCTGTGGGACAGTGCTCACAGGTGAAACAAATCCTTTTCCAGTCCCAGGAGAAGATTTGTGTCAGTAATGATTCTTAGAGAACACCTTGTAGCAGCCAGCACACATCAGCCATACAGGTGACATGTCCCTCTGGTCACCTCCTCACCTGCTTCCCACCAAGACCTTCTACAAAGCACTACAAGCTACACACACTGGTTATTCCAGAGTTCCATCTGCTAATCTTCTCTTTACAGAAATGAGAAGTGAAATACTCCAGCAGCATGTCCCTTCAGGCAAGGGAGCCTGCTATGCCCCAAAACTTCTCAGAGCCCAAGGGAAAAGCTGGCAGAAATAATGCTCCACAGCTCAGCATGATGACATGTGTAAAGAGCAAGTCTCTGCCCCTTCCTCCTTCTGCAAGGGCCTCAAACTATGTTTGTAATATCCCCAAATACATCATAGTATCAATATTGTGTTAAGAGGCTGGAATGGAGCTCAGAGATGATCCAGCCCCAACCCCTGCCCTGGGCAGGGACACCTCCCACCAGAGCAGTTTGCTCAAGGCTCATCCAACCTAGCTGTGAACACTGCCAGGGTTGGGGCAGCCACAGCCTCCCTGGGCAACCTGGGCCAGTGTCTCACCACTAACACATTAACAAACTTCTCCCTAATATCAAATCTAAATTTTCCTTTTTCAATTTATCCCCATTACTCCTTGTCCTACCATTGGAGTTTCTTTCCACTTCCATTGGTCTTTGCTTTTACCATTTGCAATCCATGAACTCACTTCATTTTTCATAGGCCTTTGGGTAAAAACATAAGGATCTAAACAAGGACTAAGCAATGCTGAGCTGGAGGCAGCTCTGCCCCATGGAGAAAGAAGAACTGACTCAGAACTCTTCCAAACACACAGGAAGGTGTTGCAGGTGCTCACCCAGCAGGCAGAGGGTGTGACTGCCCTCCAGGCACACGCAGACATCGTGGCACTGAGCTTCCCTGCTCAGGAACAGGATGAACTTGCGGAAGAGCTCGTGGGACTCTATCACTGCCAGACGCTGAAAGGCACAATTGAAGCCCCAGTGAGGCTCAGAACCACCACCCACACCTCACCTGCCACCAGCACTTGGTGTTGGCTTTTCCTGCCAAGTACAGCAGCAAGGTGAGGTTGTTGCACTACACAGCATGTGACACTGGAGGTAAAAGCCTCTGCAGGTGAGCAGGTCCTGCTGTAGCTGCAGACAGACCTTGGTAACTCTGCCTGCAAGAACACAGGATGCCCATTTGGCACAAAACCTGCCTGACTGCAGCATGCAGATTAAACTGGAATATTGCACAGCTCACTGGTTACCCCCACAGCTCATCTGCCACACAGCAGAGTGATTTTTGCTTTGGTCTGTGCTTACAGAAGGGGAAGGACAGGAAAAACTCAGGATGTGTGGCATATATGCCTTTATTACTTATTATAGGGCAGCTCAGTCCATCAACCTACTGGGGTTAAAAGCTTCTGCATTAGAAATCCAGAGTATCTGTAAGGACCAAGGGCTTGCACAACAGAGCTGAAACTGGTCAAGAGAAATGCCAGAGCTCTGTTCCTAGAGCTGATGAAACACAATAACAAGTGGTCCTGTGTGATAATCAGATCTGTGGTACCATGACATCACCCACTTACTTCAGGTGTGAGAGTAGCAAGATGAGTCATTATAGCAGGCACAGACATGACATGGATCAGAAAGGACCTCAGCAGATTGTCTGAGAACTGTGCAGCAACCACAGGGCTACAGAGAGAGAGAGAGAGAGAGAGAGAAATACTTCAGAGCAGGACCTGACCTAGGAGAGCAGGACAGAGCCTTCAGCTGAGCTGTGCAGAGCTAGTTACTGGTTATTCCCTCACCAAGAATCAGTCATGGAATGGTTTGAGTTGAAAGGACCTTAAAAGCTCATCTATCCCACTCCCTGCCATGGCAGGGACACCTTCCACTAGCCCAGGGTGCTCCAAACCCCATCCAACCTGACCTTGAAGCATCACAGGAAAAAGATCATTCATTCACACTTCTGTTCTCAGAGCAAGTTCACCAAATCACTCATGACTCAAAGGAATCTGAGTCAGAGAAATTACAGCCTCAAGCTCTGTGACACAGCACAGTCACACCACTGGTATATGGCCCAACTCCTAATTCCCCTTCTCCCCTCTGCCATAAAATCAGTAATTAACAGTTCTTTTCCTTAGGAAGAAGCGAGGTGACATCTTCTAGGCCATCCATTGCCACTGCCCATCACCACCTCCTCAGCCCAGCAGTGACAGCAGCAGGAGGGAAGTGACACACAATTAACCACTGAGGTTTAAAAGGCTGATTAGTGGCTGCAGATTTCCCAAGTGTTGTTTCAGGGCCAAACTTTGTCCCTGCAAATTGGGCAACAGGTACATCTGCATCAGCAGATCACTGTGGTAAGACACAAAAATGCTCACCTAGAAAGCTCCAACCCCTTCTGGTGGTTCAACAGACAGACAGACTCTGGGCTGAATTGGACCCTAAAGGCTCACACTAATTCCTGACTTAAAGGCTTTCTGATCTGAAAAAGGATGACAGCTAAGTGAGCTCTTTGCCTAAAGCGACTTCTTTCATCAGAGTGATGCTCTCAGTGGCACAAACTCACTGGCAGAATCTTCAAAAACCACACTGAAGACAAGTTTGGCTGCAAATCAGCCCAAGCAGCTCTGGGGCCTCACCGCAGTGCCAGAGAGAAGATGGCAGTCAGGGAGCCTTTGGACAAGGAAGGTCTGGATCTTGCCAAGCCATTAGTTAGCAAAATCTGGAATTAAAAAAAAGAGATATAAAACCCCTGAAGTCCTCAGAGTAACTCCTGGAAGACCTTAAGTTTACTGACTGCAGAGCAAAAGGACACCAAAGCAATCCAAACCCAGTTCCCACCAGTTATTTGGCAGAACTAAAGAGCTTCAGGTTACCAAAGGCAGAGGAACTGCAATCAAATCAGACACTCTACAGTACCTGTTCCTCTAGGACCTGCACTCACAGGGTGCTCAGGCCTTTAAGGTTAACAAACAAGGCTCATAGTTTGGTATTTTAATGCTAATTTAAAAGACTAAGAAGAATTACATCAGTTGTTTCCCCACAGAACAGTAAACAAACCCAATCTGTATCACGTGGCAGGAGCAAAGTTTGGCAAAGTATTTAAGATTCCTTCCTGTCCATCTCATATGAGATGATTAAGCAGGACTTAGATTCAGCAACAGGGACAGAAAGGAGAGTGTATTTGGCCTCAGGTGGAGACACTGCTTTACTGCTTTGAAGAGAAATATGACCAAGTGCAAATCACCAACAGCTTCTCCCTGACACCCCTTCCCAGATCCTAAGAGAGTCCAGGCAGCACTGGGATGTGTCTGGATGAAGAGAAGACATGACTGACCTGCAGCACAGAGTAAAAGCCCTTCTGGTTGAGGTGTCCCATGATGTTAGCACAGATGTGGTTCATGGCAGGCCTCAGGGTCTCACCTGGGGGTGAGAACACTGGTGTCACTGGCACAGCCTGACAGCCTCACTCTGCACCTCCTCACACACTCCAGAGCACTTTGGCAGTGCCCAAGACCTCCTGACACAAAATCCTTGTCCTTACACACACACAGACATCACTTTGGTAGCATCTCACATGGTCTTGTTTAAGGTTTGAGTCTCATTCCCTCACAATACTTGTCTACATTTTCTCTGTGCATTCCCTACAAAAGCCCACAGCTAAAACCACATTACGATGTCCTCTGAACACATCTTGTCTGTGAGAGTTTGGAATATTAGAAAAACATTGTAGCAACTGTCTTTGTCCTAAGGGAAACAGCCTAATCTCCAGGGAAACAGGCTAATCCCAAGGGAATCCTTGCTTTGGGCAAGGAGCACAATGAATCTTTGTGGCAACCATGGGAAGGGAATGAGGTACAGAAACAGAATCATGAACTCATGGAATGGTTTGGATTGGGAGGGACCTTGAAGATAATTTAGTCCATGGCCATGTACACCTTCCACTAGCCCAGGCTGCTCCAAGACCCATCCAACCTGGCCTGGGACCTTTTCAGGGCTGGGGCAGCTTCTCTGGGCAACCTGTGCCAAAGCAGTCAGAGGATTTTAATAGCAAGTCCAAAATCAGTGCCTTGCTTGAAGAATGGTTGCACCAACCTATACCCCGAAGGATTTTCCAGGTGGAAGTGTCTGTGAAGGTCACAAGCATTGTGAGGTGCAAATTGACCAGCCTGGAGTCCTGCAGGATGTCAGGCTGAGACAATAAACATCAGGGTTAATCCATCAAATCAGCTCTGAGCCAACTGGTAAATGCAGGGAGAGAAAAACACAAAAAAAATAGTCCTTACCTTAAGCTGCTTGAGAAATTCACAGCAAAACCACAGAATGTCTTTGATCTGTTTGATCCACAGGAGTGTAAGATCCTTGGAGAGTGCCAGGGACACATACCACACCTGAGGGAGGCAGGACACACAGTGATCAGTGTTTGTGCTGCTGCGGGGCAGAACACACTGCCAGGGAGCTCTGGCACTGGACCCAGCAGTGGCACCAAGGTATTTCCCTCCCCACATTCAGTGGTCAAAGCACATCACCCACCCCAGGAATCAGCTGCCCTTTAACTCCTGTGGCTGTGCACAGAGTAAAAGTACCAGGGAAATACTAAAGGGCTTGTGCAACCTTTCCCCATGGAATCTCAGCAGTGCTCAAGGGCTTCTGAGAGCTAAATATTTCTATGTCACCAACCCAAAGACAACAACCAACCTCCCAGCCCAGCCCAACCCCATCCCTGCTGACCTTGGGCTCATTTTCCACATCCATGCTGTTGAGGATACAACGGCACAGCTTTTCAAACCTCTGGGGAAACAAACAGGTGGGATTAGTTCCAGCTACAGGAAAGGCTGTTCTGGAACAGCACAAGCAACAGCTCAGCAGAGGGAGCAAGATCTCTGCATCACAATGTTCCCAAAGACTCCCCACAGCCAGGGCTGGTGGCTCCTTCCCTGGGAGCCAAGGATGTAGCAGTGTGTCCTGGACTTCTGCCCATCACAAACTCAGTGATCATATCCACAGCACTTAATTATCATTTCAGCCCAGTTTTCCATGTTTCCTCTATGTATTTGTCACATGATTTCAAGCCGTAAAGCCACTCTGAGCTGGGTGGTTATCCCAACCAAGAGCAGTGTCCAGGAACAGAGTGGAAATGAGCAGAGTGCAGTGCTTGGCCGAGCAAGGAATGGGAAGGTGAAGGAGAAGGGAGATATCCCAGCTATGCACCCAATTACTGCAGTGCAGAACTTCAGTTGGATCCAGCCACTTACTAAATGTGTATGTAACACACAAAGGCCTTTGTTTTGATGCTGCACCTACAGGGAACTGCATTTGTAGCAGATTGAGATGAAACGGAGATTTAAAAGTCACCAACTGCCACTGCAATTTAAACACAACCTTCCATGGTTTCCTTACCATCAGCCCCTACACTTTCCTGGGGCAAATATCATCATTTCAGGGCTTTGCTCTGAACCCACAGACTCAGGACATGGTCAGAAAAATAAAATAGATGCAATCAGATACAAATTAGATACAAACAACCTCCCCTGGGCCCTCACAGCTGGTTAGGAGCTGCCACAATGTACCTGCCTGGGGAAGGACTCAGCTGAGTGCCAAAACCCTCAGGCACAGCTCAGTGACTGCAGTTGGCACAGTCACCAGGAAAAACATCCACTAAACCATGCCCTGAATACAAAACCACTGCTGAAAAATTCAAGGCTTCTACTGTTTCCTTCCTCCAGGCAGATCCCTCCAGGAAGGAGCAGGAGACAGAGATCACATTTCTGAAGGCAAAATATACAGCAGGAACCTACATGATAATGAATTAAACATATTTAAGGGATTAAAAATCTGCTCCAAAGATGATGTCAGGGCTGCGTCCTTACCTCCTTGTCCTCTTTGGGACTGAACACAAACAGCAGCTTCCTGGCAATTTTGAAGACAGACAGAGCAGTTCTTTTACTTGAGCCAGAGTCATGTGTCCCAAAGAATTCTTCCACCTCTCTCCTACCAAAGGGGAGAAAAATGAGTGGTTAAAAACCAAGCACAGCTCTCCAGGAAGGAGTAGGGGTAGAATTCCCTCCCTGACAGGGCCTACAAGGAGGGACTTTTTCCAAGAGCTCGGAGTGAAAGGACAAGGGGAATGGGTTCATAGTCAGAGGGCAGGGCTAGATGGGATATTGGGAAGGAATTGTGCCCTATGAGGGTGCTGAGGCATTGGCACCGGTTGCCTCGAGAAGCTGTGGCTGCTCCATCCCTGGGAATGTTCCAGGCCAGGTTGGATGGAGCTTGGAGCAACGTGGGCTAGTGGAAGGTGATCCTGCCCGTGGCACGGGAGGAATGAGATGAGTTCCAAGGTCCTTCCGAGCCAACCCACTCCAGGATTCCACGGCTGCCACGCACCTGATCTCCCTCTGGAGGCGGC